GAGAGAGAGAGAACAGTTTGCAGGGTGTGCGTGCGAAGAGAACGAGTGATAAAGAGAAAGGAGAAGACCAGGAGCGGCGAAAGAGTGAGGGAGAGGAAAGAGAAAACGAGCGAGAGCGGGGGAAAGAGATAGAAGGACGGCGAGCGAGACAGAAACGGAGATATAGAAAGAGAGAGGAAGGAAACGAGAAAAAGAGAAAGAGACAAAGATCCTAAAAGGACGGACAAACAAGTGGGAGAAAGAGAGAGAGAGAGAGAGAGAGAATAACAGTGAGGGAGAGGGAACCAGCTCGTTGGTTCGAGCGAGCAACGCACTGGTGACAGAAAGACGGACGGACGAACGGACAGACAGGCGGACCGACAGACGGACGCGGCTTCCCCTCTGCTCGCGTTCACTGCCAGTTGGTCGCGCGTTACCGAGCCAAGTGGATGTGTTCGCGGTTGTGCTCCCGCTGAAAAAAAGTTCTCGTTGATCACCACGCCGCACGAGAGTGAAAGAAGGAAAGAGAGAGGCCTCTCTTCCTACGCACGTCGCCGTGATAAACACGAACGTCCCGTTTCTGCACGTCATATCGATATACGCGTGAATCTGTGAGAGACGCGCCGTAAGCGCATTGTGTCGCCGGTGAGCGAATTCGCCGAGAAAGGATTACAAGGTGCATCGCAAAGTGCGCGACGACGTATATCTACACGTATCGCATTTTTTTGGGGAAATATCTTTCAACGCCGTCGCTCTTGTTGCGAGATTCGAGAGGTGAGTACCGGTGATGGTGCGAGGATGTTGCGTCCGCGCGCGTCCGATCGATCGTCGAGAGTTTCGCATTCTTTCTTTTTTTTTCTTCGGCGAACAAAAGGAAAGCTGATCTTTTCGCGAAGTAACTGTTGCGCGTCTACGAAAGTTTTTTCACGGGCACGGTCGCGCGCGCGCCGACGTGCGTGTCGCGTATGGCCGACGTCATCATAGTCCTGATCCTAATTCTCGCTAGTCCTCTTTTCGCTCCGGTGAATTTTTTCCCGCCAGGCAGATAGCCGACGGAACTCGTGCGCTTCAAGAAACGTCGAGGAGGCGAGGCTTTCCGAGACTTCTGTTTCGGAACATTCGGATTTCGACCGCCCTCCCCCCCCGCGCCATTTTGAAAATGGGCAAGCCGGAACGGCAATCGATATAGCGGACGGCGCCAGCCGCGTCGCGAGGGGGACCTCGGCGTTCCGTTCGTCTTTTCCTAGGACGAGTCCCTACGCCCTGTGGGTTACCGCGAGGTTGAAGCGAGTCGAGTCGAATCGAGCTGGCGAACTTTCCGGCATTCGTGGTCGCGTTGAATACGAACGAACGATCCCTCGGAGGACGATCGGTCGTTACGCCATCTTGATTCCGTGCCCCACCATCTGCTTGGTGGTCTCACACTTCTTAACCCCCGAACGATCGAACCGTGCATACAGTACGTACGTATGTACGTACGTACGCGCGATCTCCAGCCGACCTTTTCCGTGCTTGAGATCGCGCAATCGCGCATACCTATGTCGGTATTCTTTGCCACCGACATTTCGAGTCGTCAGACGGAGACGAGCGATTCTTCCTGTATCTCTCGAGAACAAAGAGAAAACTCTTCGAAGTTACGTAAAATCGAATTTGCCTATTTTGTCGTAACAATAATTAATCTTAAGCTATCATTAGTCTAATTATGAAAAAGCCTGATAGTTAATTCCTTTAGGCTAATATCTACATTTATTTAACGAAGAGAAACTTCGAGATTTATTTTACACTGAAACCGCGATGAATTGCTATTGTGTATATATTTTAAACTCGAGAAGTCTTATATTCGTGAGAAACAACTTCTTGCAATTGATAGGATAGAAAAAACCGGAAAAGATTGGGAAATGAGATGTAAGGTTATATTCTTGGTATTTTCTACGAACACATGACTCGTTTGTTTCTTTCTCTCATTTTTCTCTATCGCCTTTGTGCCAATTTTGCATAGCAATCCTCTACCTACCGCTGTCAAGATTTCTACCGAAGCTATTGTTACCACTAGGGAAATACGATTCCAACAGAATAAGCTCGAGAAAATGAACTGATCCTTTATAAATACATATTATTCCCACATTTTCTTTCTCGCATGTAGATTTTCCGTACCGCATATTCTCATCTTTTCACTCCCTATTCCCAACGGTCGTTTACATAGAAAGAATGCTCGTAACGCTTGGATTTGCATTCGATCGTCGTCGGTACGGTGCTATTCGATTATACGTTAATTAACGTTGCGGACGCATTGTGTGCAAACG